ATCTTTAGGTCTACATAGCAAGAGGAGGCCATTCATCATATTTGGTATGCTCTTAAAAGGTGAGGACTTATTTCTTTGCAGATCATTTTCTTCCTATTAATGATTTGTTTGTCAATTAATCAAAGATTATTTTCTTGATAGATTTGTGATCTTTTTTATCTAGAAATTTTCAATAATTTTAATAATGATGTTTCATGAATCACATTGACAAGATTTTCATCCATAACTGAGCAATTTTAACAACTTAATTATTTACTAGTAATTAGTAAGAAAATCATGATTTAATCAAATAAAAATAAAAGTTTTGGCTCCAGTAAGATTTGAACTCTTGTTGCTCACTCACCTACTTGAGAGATAGTAAAATAAATACTCAAATACTCTTATAAAGTGATCCCATAAAAGTATCTTCATCTCATAAATAAGGGTTTTAAGTATTATTAATAAACTTCATTTGTCTATGACCAATCCTTGTCCCACACACGACTGACATCTAATGACATGGAAGGAGAGTGATGCACACATGTCCCCTACCAAGTCCAACATTTGCCACTCAAGCCCTTTGCTGGTGGCTCCACTCAAATGTGGTTCCGACCTGCTTGTGGGGCTAACTAGTTGACGGCTCCACACCATTTTTTATTTTATTTTATTTCTATTTATTTATCTCAAAAATATGATTGTAAAAATTATATAAAATCACATAATTAGATAAAAAATTACACTAATCAACTAAAATTGCTTTTCATAATTTAACATAAATATAAATCTTTTTATCATGAGTTAAGTCTTAAAATATATTATTAATTAATTACTAACTCATAATAATCAAGACATTACATCCCCAAACTTAAATCATTGCTAGTCCCTTACTAATGAAATTACAAAAGTTATTTAAAATTCACAAATTTGAAGCATCATATTTCAATGCATGAAGTACAATTAGAAGTGATGTATCTTTAGACATTTTAGAGTCTTATATAAAGTATTTAAGAATAATGTCAAGCACTTAAATATTCAAGTACTCTTTGAAAGAATAATCTACACTTTATTTATTCTATTCATATCTTTATCACTTCTATACTCATAGATATAATTCACAAGATGTTCTACTTATCAATATTCATTCAAGAATAATATTGATTCTACATTTTATCATTTCGATGACTTTATTTTGCAGCAAGTATTTTTCTATAGACAATTTTTGACAATAAGAATGAGGTCTCACACCCTTTATATGTACTCTTTTTCATATATGCAATATGATCTATGAAATTTGTGAATTAGATAGTTCTGACAGTTTTATTTTCTATTTTTAGTTATGTTTTCAGCAACTATAAACTTTTCAAAAATAAAGCAAAATTATCCTCTTTAGAGTTGTAATTTCGAATTTCAGCAATATATTTCTAGGGAACTGAAATGTGAGAAAAGGGTCTTTAAATTTTAAAATTTTGGATTATTTTTTTCTAATGTTTGACAAGCTGTAAACTATTTTTTCAGTTTCTAATAGAAAACAAGCAAATGGATGCTATAATTTTTCTAAACTTTTTTCTTGTTACTTTTATAGGTCAATATGAAAGTTAACATAAACACATGTTTTTAATTATTCTACGACATAAATTAAGACTTAATACTTCACCCTTAACTTATAAATGGCATTTGTCCTAAATGATTGAAAAATTAGAACAAATTATGTAGAAAATATAATTTTTAAGTGAAGGATGCATATATGCAAAGTTAAGCACTAATTTTTTTTATAAATGATGAAGTTTAGAAAGACATCACCTCAACCTTGTTTTTATTTTGTACTTCATCTTACCCTCCTCCTTTTGCACTTTTTTTGAAAAAAATAAATGTTTTGAAATTCTAAAAAAAAACATAACATAAAAAGACAAAACATAATTAATGAAATAAAAACCATGGGTTGCCTCTCATGTAGTGCTGAATTTAAACTCTTCAGCTAGACAACTCTTAGATCATATAAGATGATTTGTTGCCATCAAAATATATTGGCATCCCCCAAGGTAATGTTTCATGATATTTTTTTTCAGATTTAGAATAAATTCATTTACTTCATATATATATATCTTGAGATACTTTTAGCCAAAAGAAAAATGAAAGATAATAGAAAAAAATCAAAATAATATTTTTAATTTGAAACAAAACCTCTCCTCAATGTTATCTAGTTTTGTAAGCCTCTCATTCATTAGTAAATACTTTCTATTGATGCACCATAAAATGTGATATGACCAATCTAACTATTTTTCATCTAAAATGATATCTCTAATTTTTCACTAACACATTTCTTAATGCATTCTTTTATATGCATAATCCTTCCATGTTCTATTTATCTTCTCTACATATTTGTTCAATTTGTGAGGAGTGAAATATTTCAAAAACTTAGACCTAATTCTAATGAATTGTGGGTTTTGAAGGATGGAACAATTGTCTATTTTAATCTTAGATCTAATGAATTCATTAAAAAAAAAAATCTCCTCTGAAATTATCTCTATATTCATATTCATTATTTTCGTTTCTCTCCATTAATTGAATCAACTCTTTTTCTAGATTTTCTTTTCTCAACTCATCAAATCTTTTATCTTCCTAAAAACTATCTCCTAATTTCTTTCTATTATATGCATCATCATCATCGTTATGAACATCTCTTAGTGAAATATGTTGATTAAACTTGTTAATTTGGCCTCCTACATCTTTGAAATCAATTAATTTCTCCTCACTTAAAATCTATTTTTCTTCATTTCTGCCCTTACTTTCTTCTACTAAAATTTGGATAATTGATCCACAATTTGGTATTGTTTCTTCATCTAAGGTTCTTCCTCCTCATCATCCCCAGTATATTCATTCATCAATAGTGAGTGACAAATAATTGTCTACTACTTTATCTTCAGCCTTAATATTTTCATTTCCTTCTTCTAATGATGGGAGATAATGATTAGGTAAAATCTTCCCACTCAATATACTTATTATTCTAACAAATTAATTTCACAGATTTTTTTTCTAAATTTTCCACCTAGACTTTCCTTGTTGAAATTTTACTATTAGGTAGTTTCTCAGATTTTCTATGTGCTAAATAGGTATTTGTCCCTCTTTTCTCTTATTTTCAAAAACCTTTATAAATTATTTTTACTACAACATCATTTAGTTTATTTTTTGCTGCATCATTTGGCTCATATTCATAAAAATTAGTTTGGATTTGAGAGGGTTGATTTTCTTGAATTTTTTTTTGTTTCTTAGACAAAATTCAAAATTTTAATTGGGACTAAGTGCTGAATTTGAATATTATTTGGGCCTCTTCACAAAAATTATTTCTCCAATTATGATTATAAGAATTAGATAAAAATCATGAGCTACTACTTGCTCTTGCCTAGTCTTAAATGATTAATCTAATATAGGACATTGAAATTTTGAATGATCATTTTCAACACACATTGCATAGCTACTATTGAATTAAATTGAGTGTTAAAAGCTTTCTAATATTGTCAATAAGTAAATCAAGTTTTTTTAATCCTTGATTGATTTGATTTACCTCTTTTCTTAAGTTGGAATCATCTTGATGATTCAATTCATACATTCCTCTTTTCTTATCCTTGTCATATAACCCAAAAGAGACTTGACATCTAGAATTTTCACTTAAATTCTTATGATGGTTATTAATTTAATCAGGAATTTTCTCCATAAAAGCTCCTCTAGATATAAAATCAACTATATTTTTATGTTGGTCTAATAATCCACCATAAATAGTTCTATTGAGGTGTTACTTATGTATCCCATGATGATGACACTTTTTAAATAAATCTTTAATTTTTTTTAGTCTCATGTAAAGTTTTTCCTAGCCTTTGAGCAAAACTCCATATATAATTTCTCATGTTTTGAGTTTTTTCTAAGGGCTAAAATTTTTGAAGGAAGACTTATTCTATCTTTCTAATTAGTTAATTCTCTATCTAATGTCGAGAGGCAATAACTAGCCTAATCCCTAAGCGTATGAGGAAATAATTTCATCTTAATAATTTTCATTGTAACTTGAGGGAGATTAACTAAATCATAGACTATATAAAAATATTCTAAATGCTTATGAGATTTCTCCAAAGATAATCCATGAAAATTAAGGAGTATTTGAAAAATTCTTGAATTAATTTTTAATTTAACTATTGGTGCTAATATTAGACTCTAATAACTTTTCATGGCCATAGGTTATTTTCAGTTTGACTTGTACTACCTTTAGGATCCATCAAAATTATTTTTTCTTTCAAATTTTTGGTTTTGAATGAAATAGTAGAAGGATTTATAGCCTTAGATGTAATCTAAGGATCTTCTATCATGCATAAAAATCTATAAATTTGAGAAAAAAGTTAATAACTATTATCCTCCTTTAGTTTGCTTGAGTCTTTGTCTTTTTACTCTTCATTCTTTTTTATTGATTTTCTGTAAAAATAAAATAGAAAAAATAATTCTTTTTTTTGTAATCTAAAAAAATAGAAAAATATCAGATATTATGTAATACATCCCTAGCACTGCACGAAAATTTTATGTGATGTCATTGTTGTATAATAAATCACATATTTAAAGTTTATTAAACTAGAAAATATTAATTTTTAAATTTTAAGAAATATTTCAGAACAAATAAATGAATTAGAATGGGACTAGATAGGTACGTTTTTAACTGGTAGGACGAACCGGTGCGGACCGGTTGCTTCGGGTCGGTTCAGACTGGCGAACCAAGTGATTTTATGCGACTGAGCAAGCTGGGCCCGGCAGAAATGGGCCAATCGGGCCGGGATGGTCTGGACCCATAAGTCGGAGGGGTTGAGCCCTAACCAACAAGAGGAGAGAGTGAATCGGGCGTTGGCGGAAGAAAATGGTGGCATGGTGCGGAGGCGGAACACGCGACGGGTGGAGGCAGGGCTGGAGGCGGCAGCAGCGGCAGACAGCAACGAGGTCGACAGTGGAGGTGACAACAGGACAGGCGATGGCAGTGGCAGACGGCAATGGTGGTTGACGGCGGTGGCCGGGGGCGACAAAGACGGCGAGAGATGGGCTGTGGCTATGGCTAAGGTGGTGACGGTGAGGGTAAAGCTAGCGGCGATGAGAGGGAAGGTTGGAGAGGTAGAAGAAGGGGGGGAGGGGAGGAGAAGAAGCTCCAGACTGGGAGCGGCGGGATACTCCGACCAACCCAAGCCGGGGCGACAGGATCCAAACGTCAGGTAAGCAAGTTATGGTTCAACTTCAATATGCAATGGTAAAAGATGAACTTACCCGTTTTAGGGCGTTTGCGGCGGCGACGTGAGGGGCAGACGGTTGAGTCCTCCGCGAGATCCACGTCCTTCCATGTTGTGCATCTCCAGCTCTCTTTCTTGACCGGCCCCACGTTCTTCAAATGATGGTGAGCTGGATCGTGCTGCATCATAGGGCATGTGCAACTATGCTTGACGGTAATCTTCTTACGGAAATCATAAGCAGTCATCAACCAGCGCTTTAGCTGTGATGTTCTAGCCGCTTTTAACAGGACCGTTTAAAGACAAGTGCAGAGAATATTGTTGGGTTTCAGTAACTAGCAGAGAATATTGCTAGGAATTCCACAGCAACTTAGACACCTAAAGGCACCCTATGTTAATGTTCAAAGTGACTTCCGTATTTTCCTGTAAGGAAGCTTTTCTTTCTTGGTCAGTCAGCAAAAACTGTATTTTTTCTGGTTGATCTTCATGAAGGTCAATCAACAAAAGCTTTTCTGGTTTCCACTTCTGGAAAAGGTTGACTTTCATTGTTGTAAGAACATAGCGTGATATTTCAATCATTTTCAAGAGCATGAACTATTTTTTAGTACTCGCTTTGTGGAACTACCTATGTGACAAGTAACAAAGGGTAAATGTCAACACCAAATGCTGAAGAGTCAAGACCTTTGCATTAGATAACTGTTGATTGACCCCGTGTTGACATAGTGTATATTATTTAAGCAATATGCCATACTAAGGCTTGTCTCGAGATAGAGCAACTCTTGAGACCCACTTTGATACTTCTAATGGCCGATGCTTGGGAGTTTTTTAATTTGGTAGAGATGAACAAGAAGACAAAACTGAATGGTTCAGATTTATGTCAACAGTACTAAATTTAATCTCCAATTTAGAACGGGAAAAACAAAACGAGTTTGGTGTAATGCTGATCCCTGTCTTTGGATTATCTATTTATCCATTAAAAGTATACTTTCTAAGGTGTAGAACTTCATTTGCCCCGGCCAGTACGAGTCATAATCGAATCTTAATTGCTATCTTAGGAAATGAAGGTCTCCTCTTTCTCCGTCCACTCTTATCGAAGCTAGCTTAATGACTAGGTGATATGCTCCAAGTCAGTCTATAGCTAAGCACACTAGGTTCAATACTGACTGCATCCTTAGACAAATAATTCTCCCAAGTTTGTATATACAACCACTTTAACCTTTCTGACGCTAAGTCAAACAAAAGGCAAAAATTTCAGACATTTATTCAGGACTAACACTACAATCCAGGATTTACAATAATCGAAAATGAGAGTTACAACAGAACGTTTTGACGGCCGAAAGAGATACCGAATCGTAACAGCAGTAATAGTAATTTCTAAAATAATAAATGCATAGGATTTCACACCAAAATAGTTTGGCCCTTTCTGAACCTCACAGTGACGAATGATGCATGAGACTTCAACAGAATCTTGTCTAAGAGTAGTTACACATGCCTTATCGGCAGTTGTTACCCTTCCCGCACCGCCGGTTGCACGCGCCGCAGTTAATTCGATTGAAGAGGATGTTTACGCACTTCCCCCGGCAGCGCCCACAGTTCATAATGTCCGTCCTCAGGTTCACGCAGCGCTTTCGGCAGCAGTTCCGGCCTGGGCTGCCGATAACCCGACAGACCTTTGGAATCCGGTCGCAGGTCATGGCGACCTGACGGTTACGGTAGCGGAGCAGCCGTCGGAGGGAGAACACCTTTTCTGCTTCGTCTGGTGCCCACACGCCGCTTTCTTCGTTGTGTTCTGTAACTGGGGGGGATAGAATAAGCTACCGATAGGGCCACGCCCAGGAACAAGGAAACGGCGAGAAAGTACAAGAGAGCTTTGTACGCCTTCGTTATTCCAATGCAGCGAAGAAATTTAGATCTGGTTCATTGGGAACTCGAAGAGAAAGTTCAGTTTTGAAGAGAAAAGATAACGACGACGAGGACGCTTTTATATCGATGATTTCGGTTGACCACCTTAGGGGAATAGTCGAAGAAGGTAGAAGTTTGGTGTATTGTCGGCGAAAAATGCAGTCAAACTCCGGCCCCCCCGGAATAAAGATTCAAGTTAGGCCTCGCTGGAGCAGGAAGCTCCTCACATGGCACAGACACTATCGGTTCACATAGAGGCAAACGCTGTGCTCATCTTTACAAGGCAGGTGCCCAAGTGCTGCAAAGACTTCCTGTGCACAGGAGTATGTGGTACCCAATTCAAGTGAGGCTTTGTACTGCCGTATTTCTTTGGGTGGGCGGTAATATATTCGCGGAAACAGTATCAAAGTTTCCTACGACTACAGCAGCGAGCGCAAAATAATTTTCTTGCCAAATCATGCCGAACGGATTTGAAAAACATGCAAACGGACGAAGGAAGGAGCTGTCGAATCAAGTCTTTCAACACAGAAAGCCAAACTTCCGGGTCTATCTTAAATACAGAGATGCGTTTTATATACCGTCGGAACAGTCGGCGCTACTAACTACCGGTTTGACTTTGGCAGAATCCTATGCTCAACCAAAACTGCTTAGGCAGACGGTTTTTTTCCTTCTTTCCAACATCCAAATCCTGTTGTACTCTTTGACAAGCCGGACCAATTCGGAAAATTCCCATTTGGCCGGTGACTGCAAACCTTCCCACAGCATCTAAATACTCATCGAGGGTTGTGTAAAGACTATTATTGCTTCAGATCTGTTACTTGGCATAAATTGTTTTCCATCATGACTTTCTGATCATGGTAGCGTATGGAGAAGGATAAACAATTGCGACAAAGACAGTGAAAGAGAGCAAGAGGAGCAGAAAGAGAAATTTATAGCTGAGGGAATTTTGAGTGGTGGCTTTAATGTTCTGATGACGAAAAAGGGTAAAATGATAATATTAGATTAATCAAATTATGTTGCCATCAATGTGTAAACAAAAATAGATTAAACGAGATATTAATCCAAGAAAAATAGCCTTAAAGTAATGTAGGAGATAAAGTAAGGGGTAATAGAGGTTAAATTTCAAGTGCTAACATGACCATAAATGCACTATTTCCCTAGGCATTGAAATTCGCCATTAGATGGCTCAATAATCTGCATAGAGAAAGAGAATTTTAGCTCATGCTAATGTTGAAAGATCGAAATTCAGTGGCTGCTCAAGTCACCAAAATTTTCTTGATCCAAGAACTCTAACATCATTCAAGCTTTGCATTTGATGCTTATGGAACTCCTTAAGCTATGTGAAAAAAAAATGGTGACTTGTTTGTTAGATTTTAGGCTTCATATAGATCAAGAAGAGGGGTTTGACTTGATTGAGTATTAATTTTAACTTTTGGTAAGATATTAAAATTTTTTTACTCTCTAGTTTTTGTTCTTAAATCGTATGATTTCTTTAGATCTAAATCTAATACACAAGATTTTTATAAGGTGTAGCACCTTACCTATGTCCACTCACCAAGAAAATTTCTTTCTTAGTTCCAATAAACCAACTACTTGACAACACAAAAACTTATTACTAGGTTCAAAGTTTACTGCATTTTACCTTCAGACTATCTTCTACATTCACGATACTAAACCTGCTTGAATTATAGGGCTAGATGAAACTCCAAGGGGGTGATGAATTAGGTTTCTATTGCTTTCAGTTATTTTTTGTTTCTTGCTAATTATCTATATCAATTATCACTAGATGTGTTGACACATGTTTGTTTATAAAGCTCTACCACTAGAGACATGACATTTTATACTAATTTTCTCATTATATGGTTACATTTAATCTTAGAGGAGTTATCCCACTGATATTTTACTATTTCCTTTAGGAAATACTTATTGATGTTCATGGGCTCAGCCACCCAACCACTCAAGTTCATTAAAGAGAAATGGTTCTCCCTAACACATGCATCGACTAAGTCAATGAAGTCGTCAGTGAACCCAAAGCGTCTAAGAACCTTAATGAGAAAACTCTACTCTATTCTATCAAAGGCTTTCTCCATGTCTAATTTGATGATGATGTTGGAGCCTCGACAGTCATGGCCAAGGGACTGTGCTAGTTCATGTACTAGCATGATGTTATCGTGAATGTACCGTCCCTTGACAAATCCGTATTGTTCTGGAAATATAAGTCTATCAAGAAAACTACTCAATCTATGTGTAACGATCTTAGATACAACTTTATAACACACGTTACATAAACTGATAGGTCGAAAGTTTCTAAATGAGGTTGGGGTAATCACTTTCGGTATAAATACAAGGAAGGTGGCCTTCCAACTCCATGTAAAGACTTTACGACAAAAGATTTCCTTGATAGCCTAGATGAGATCTGTGCCAATGATATCCCAACATGAGATGTAAAAATCAGCTAGAAAACTATCAAGCCCAGGTGCACGATGTTTGCTCATAGAGAAAACTACTTTCTTGATCTCTTCTCCTGTGGGTATGACCGTCATGAGAGAGCTCTCATGGTGAGTGACCAATGATGCGATCAAAGTGAGCATATTATCAGAAATCTCGATCGGCTGAGAGGTTAAGAGAGTACGAAAGTACTCAACCCTTGCCTCCTGCATGCGGGAAAGATCCTAATCATATGTTTATAAAAGAGAGGTATAATTTGAATGTGAGCGGTGAGCGACTGAGGCATAAAAGAAACGAGTGTTTCTATCACCCTCTTGTAACCACTAGATGCGTGATTTCTAGAGATAGAATAACTCCTGTCGTCGCACAACCTCATCAAGCTGGTCGCTCACTCTACTCCTTTCCCAAGCAACATTTAAATATCAAGCTTACAGTAGTCTTTCAACCTCTGCTAACTCTTTTTGCAATGCATCAACCTGAGTATGGACATTCTCGTAGATATGTCAGTTCCACCATTTAAGGTGGAGTTTGAGATTCCTTAACCTATAGCTAAGGTTCTCCATAGGAAAATCTGAGATATGTCCGTACCAGTGATTCCGTACGAAACTCTGAAAGTTTTCATGTTGGAGCCACATGATCTGAAATCTGAAGGGAGGTTTGTGGGTGCTCATACTCTATTTAGGGAGTATGAGGATCAGGGTGTGATTTGACCTATAATAGGGTAATATCGTGTCTAATATGGGATGTCGCACCATGGCGATGCTATTGATGAAGCAGAGATCGATACGTTCATAAATCAAAACGTCCCCTCGATTGTTGCTCCACGTCCATGCCTTGCCTAATATAGGTGGCTCAATAAGAGCTAATAAAAAAATGTAGTCATTGAACGTCTCCATGTTACGGGCCCTAGGGATCTGCCCACCTTGATGTTCACTAGTATTACAAATACAGTTGAAGTCACCTGCTAGGTACCAAAGAGACTCAACTAGTGTAGGATAGTCCCTCACATATTGAACTAGGTCTGCCCAAAGAGTTTTCCTTCGGATCTATGTGATGCATAGATGATCGAGAAGGTGAACTCTTGGGTAGGATCTCAAATCGTCATAGTGATATGCTGGGATCCCTCAACTAGCAACTCCATAGAGTATGGTCTAGTCCAAAAAACCCAAATATGATTCGTGGGGTTGAAGTGAAAATGATCTATACTTAATCACCTAAGTAAAGGTTGGATACGATCTAATATCATGAGCTCAATGAGGCCTATTATATCTAGTCGATATTGTCTGATAAGGCTAGCTATATAGAATTAGGTTTCGAGGTTACCTATACCTCGACAATTCCATATGATGCTAGGTATCATGATCTAATGAGTGGCCCCACAAGTCCTAGATCTCATGGAGTAAGGTGAGCGTCTAGTGAGTCGTGTGATCCTAGCCTCCGTCTGATATCCCTCCTCTAGGTAGGTAGTCTCAACGTTAGTCTCAAATCTACCATTCTCATAGGTACTAGTCGTGTGGCCACTAGTATCATGAACACTAGATGAAGAGGGTGGGTGGGGTGCTTGACGATTCGTCAAGCACTATCCTCTATCGGGGCTCTCCCTAGAATCAACAGGTGCTGAATCAAGTATAGGAAACTGATCTGGCGGGTGTAGTGGGGGAGAGGGGGGGAGGGTATAAGAATCAGAAGGGGGGCTACGTAAGATGTACTAATAGGAAGTATGCTGGGGGTAGGCCCTCCTAGTAGATCCTCGACGGGGATCTAAGGGGGATGGGTAGTGCCCAAGCCTATACCCTCAAAGAAAGGGGTAGACCTCGGTCGGTGGGAACTAAGAGGTGAAAGACTCCTACTACGTGGGGAAGAGTGAATGGGTGGAGAGGAGCTAGGTGGTGGAGAAACACTAATGGGTGGATTGGGGCGGGTGAGTATGGGGGGTCGGATAGCCCGGGGTTTAGTGTTCCTTATAGTAGGAACACTATCGGTCTCCTCAATCAAAGTACTGAGAGCATTGAAAGCATTCGACGTCTAGGCTATCTTTTCTATGTCTACTAAGACAAGAGGTGATGCTCGTGCTACCGTCTTCCTCCCTTTACGGCTGGAAGTGGATGCTTGAGGAATGGAATGTGTCGCTAGAGTAGGTGGAGGTGTCTTGTGAGAACCTGTTAGTGGGGTACTAACTTGGAATGTTGATGGTCGGGATGAAATATGTGAGGTCGGTGTAGGATGACGACTAGACGTAATCTTTCCTGCCTCAATAATAAAGTCGTCATATGAGAGGGGTGGTAAGTGAAGAGAAGTAGACCCCAACAGTGATGAAGTATTTTTTTGTTGACATGTGTGAATAGTGTGTCCAAAAACCATGCAATGTGTGCAGAAATGAGGTAATCTCTCATATATAATATTTTGGTAGATTTTCTCATCCCTATTCTGCACAATAATCATGTGCTGAAGGGGAGCTAAGAGGTCTAATAATATTTTGGTAGATTTTCTCATCCCTATTCTGCACAATAATCATGTGCTGAAGGGGAGCTAAGAGGTCTAACTCGACACATACGCTAGCATATCCTAGATGATTGAACATTTTAACACCTAGATCTAGGCATATAAATGTTCCGACTATATTGGCCAAAGACTCAAGTGCCTTGGGCGTGAATAGATGTGCTGGCAAGCTCGGAAAACCTATCCAAATTGGAGTAGAGTGAGGTTATTTCCCTCGAGAGGTACCGTCAAGATATGAGGTCCATCTATGAGT